GGTATTCGCGCCGACAGCGTCTGGAGTTGCTGCTTATCCAGGCCTGGCGCACCAACGTGGAACGAGAGTTTCTCGCGTTTTTATTTGGAACAGTGCGGCCCGGTCATAAGGAGCTTATTACGCAAGAGCTCACGATCCCTGTCGTGCAGCTGGTGGATGATCTCCCTCTCGACATCATCGCGCAAGACGACGAGCATCCAGTTCCCCACGTACTCTCTTGCACATTGACACCTTACCTTCAATGGTCGGCTTGCGTGGAAGGAGCCGCAGAACGCATCCCGCCGTCACAGCAACAGTATTTGGATCCCCAGACGGTTCGCGATCCTGCCTTCTTCAGGCACCCTACGGCGGAGCAGTTTGCTGCCATTCGAGAAGAGGAGGAGGAGGAAGAGAGCACCAGGAGTGACGAAGGAGGAGACACGCAGGAAGAAAGAGGGGATAGCGACGAAGTGCTCGGGGAAGAGGACAAAACCCCCGAAGAAGGGAGCCATAGCGAGCATAGCGAGGGGGAACAGAGTGAAGAAGAAGAAGATGAGGAAGAAGAGGAGGAGCACGAAGACGAGCCTGCTGGATCGAAGTGGAAAGCCGTGCCGGAGGAAGCACTGCATACGGGCACAGAGGTTGAAGATCCTGAGGCGGTCCGCAAAAGAGAAGAGATCGCGGCCGGGAAGGATTTAGAACTTGCAAGCGCGGCGAGTCTGCAGATCCACGACGACCCGAACCGAGATTCCGAGCCGCCCCGACCTAAAGATGGCGACCTCGCGGCCACGACTCCGACCCCATCAGCGTGGCGACGAAGCCGATCCCCCTCCTCCCCAAACCGTCCCCCAATTCGCCGACGTACCGATACGGGCGATCGGCCTTCGTCCCCAATCACTCTCTCGCCGTCCCCTTGACTACCTCACCCTCCGCCAGCTCACTGCTTCCGTCACGTTCCCCTCTAACCCGTTCCCCCTCGACACCTTCCGTCACTTTTACGCCGCTCGCCTCACTGTAGTAGTGCATCCCCATCCCTCCATTCGATGCGCCGTCCCGACTTTCTGCCTCTATGTCTTGCTACTTAGTGTCGCGTGGCGAGGCCACAATATGATCAAGGTTTATTGCGTGATAACGGGGACCATCCCCGCCTGCGAAGACCGTGATCGCTTCCGCGCGGTACTTTTCCGAACCCTCACTACCCTTTATCCCGACTATCTTGCGTCCCTCCCTCGCACTGGCAACCGATTCCCTCGTTTTCATCGCATTGTTCGTTATCAGGAGCTCCCGGAGACTGTAGCCGGAATGGAAAGCCTCCTGCCCCCACTACCCATAAACCCTCCACCCCGCCGAACCGCCATGTACCGACTTCCCTTCCCCCTCCCGGTCAATTACTGATGCAGCGGTAATGGACGCGTGTCGCGGCGACGGCACGAGAAAGATCCCCTCCTTGGATCGTCGAGAGCCCAACTTGAGGAACTAATAGAGGAGCAGTATTGCCACGTTGGATGACGTTCACACGCAATTGAACGGTAAGTGGCATAGACAGAAGTGTTCCGCGTGTCGATTGATTAGAGAAATCGACACGTGTCAACAAGCAAGCAGGAGCTTGCTAATACTGGAACCCCCTGGGCGTCACATATGTGACGAACCACTTTCTGTAACACGCGATTTTCTGCGTGGTTGCAACGAGGGGTCCTAAGCTGGGAAGGTTGGACCAATTGCGGGAAATCGGGATCGGTGGAAAATTGCATCAGTACCCTTGCCTTTTCGTCGCTTCTTTTCGTATGACTGGGTTCGGAGCTGGGTGTGTCCTGGGATGGCCGGATGATTGATTGGTCGGATGAATGGCTGACTCTCCCCCGCGCGCGCGATTAATAAATGTTAACGTCGTTTCCTTCGTTTCGGTTTCGACCTTTTTGGGTGAGGATATCGCGCGGGAATTCGCTTCATTGTTTTTTAAATTTCTTTTGAATCTTTTTCGAATTTTGTCGAGCCCCGATAGCTCTCGGAATTTTGGACTTTCCCCCTGAAGTTCGTGTTTTTTGCTTTTCCGCATTAGATAGGAATTTAGGAATTCTGTAATTAGGATTTTCTTGCCGCGCGGCGCCTTTTGTCTACGCGCTTCTTCATGCGGCTGCAACGGTACTCTGATTAGTGGGCGCCCTTAATCGTGTGCGTAACTGTAATTTGGGCGGGCGCCATTGTAACTGTATCTTTCTTCTTGCACTTCGTCGCTCCCGCCCTCCCTCTCTTTTTTTTGTTGAAATCTTTGTAAGTCGCGGCTTGTATGCTCGGATCGATGCGTGGAGAAGGGCTACGTCCCCCACGCCGCGGCCCGATCATGCAGAACGCAAGCGCTCCCTCTCTAATCCCCACTCTAAGTCCTGGAAATTCTGTGTTCTTCGCGCATGCATGCACGCTATAAATTTCGGCTGCGCGATTAGTCAACTCTCTTAACCCGTTGTTGGAAGCTCGGGGTTGCGCGATCAGGAAGGGTCGGCACACGAGCGAAGTAAGAGACGGGCTGGTGCCGAACGCGTGGGATTGACGTGGGCCACGACGGACTATGGGCACGGGCGAATCTGACGGGTGCGGGAGGACTAAGCGGGGTAACAACTTCGTGGGTTGGTGCGTGATGACGGACTGTCCGCATCGAAGAAGAGAGAGAGAGAGGAGGAGAGAGTTGAGGTCGATGGACGCAGATTTGCTGTTTCTTTGTCTCTTCTCCCTCTTCATCTGTAAACATACATTTTGATTGCGGCTTTGGGGGGTTTGCCCGTTCTTGTTTTCGTTTCGGCTTTCTGAAATCTGAACTTGGGTTTTTGCTCATACTTGCCCTTGCGATGTCCGTCTCGATTGCATTGTGTGCATGATTGTTGAATGTGTGGATGTATGGATGCTATGCTTGCTTGTCTATCTTCTCGCTGAGAATCCTTGTCCTTGCTTTTGATTGTGTCGAATCTTTACCGGCACCTGATGCGGCTGTAGAGGGGATAAGAATTTTGCCCCGATATCGATTTTGTTCTCGTTTTTGCTCGTCTCACGATTAGGTTGTGATATGGTTGCACCTCGTATAATCGAAGCTTACGGAGCAATTAGACGATCCGATGTCCGGCCCCACGAACGCCGCGCGAGAACACATGTAAACGCGATCCGAATCGCGCTATTACACGCATCCCCGTGCGTCGGTTCGCCCACCAAAAAGATTCGCGGCGGAACCGTCATCCCGTACGAGCATGTTGAGGCGCAACTAAATTCGACTGTCCTACACGTGCTCGTGCGCGGTGACGATAACTCGACCAGAGTTATCCCCTACACGATGATACCATTATGCGATCTTGGAGCTCAGACTCATCCTACGACCCGGATTATTTCACCCCTTGGATAAACGAACTCATAAGGCTGCGATACCCCTGTCACACGGAGAATCGACTGTGTCCGCGGGAATTCCACTGCGCCACCTTTAGCGCCTCCCGGTGCTCTGATTTCCCTTCCCCCGATCATACTTACTACTTCACCCACCCGGGATTTGTCGTCATCACCACCGGTTTCCCTCCTTTTCGCCTCCTTCTCCCGTATCATCAACTCAGGGTCATTCCGCGGCCGGCCATAGCCCCCTATTGGCCCAGCACGCCTTGCGGGGATTGCCGACGTAGCGGCAAGCGGAGAACCTCGGAATTCCGAAGGCCCAACCCAAATACGCAGCGGCCTGCGCCACGTGGCGGCCCCCGATGGCCCAACTTTTCGGGACCGCCTCCGCCGTGGAGGGACTTCCCCGTAAACCGTTGCCCACAGTACCCCGGCCCCATCGGGCCTTGAGTCCCTTGCACACGCGCCCCTTATTCGCCCAATTGCATTCATACCCTTGAGACTCCCCCACTTTCCCAAAAATCCTTGGCCCACCCCTTTTCGCACTTCCAGGCCCACATCCCACTCCGATCAGGAAGTCGTGCTGGGCGTGAGGTTGGGCGTCACATGTTCCTTCTCGCTATTGTTTTCCTCGCCACATGGCGGTAGATTCGTGGGACTTCTCCACAGTGGCCTATTCCGTTTTCAAAAGAACTACATGAACGACAGTCGCGGACGTCGTGCCACGTCCGCTCAAGTTTCCACATTCCCGACAATGTAGGGCTGCCGCCGAATTGTCGGGAAAGTAGTCGGATCCCGTTTTTTACCAAAACCTGCACACCGAACAAGAAGTGGGATACGACCCTTAGAGGTGGACCCCACTGCTTTGCGGCAAAGCTTTGGAAGACAATTTGTGAAACCCCACTGCTTTGCGGGAAAGCTTTGGAAAACGCTCAGATATGACGTGGCAGACATTTTCACTCAGTTTTGTTTTGCGCGTTCCTTGCGGTTCGGCCATTCTGAGGGGGTAGGTGGGGGGCACCTCCCTCCGTTAGGCCATCCCATGTGGAAAGGAGAGCCAGAGATTGGGTGCGAACCCAGACAAGCGGAAGCGAAGTTTCCATATAGGGAAAGTTTTCCCTATCGGGTAACCGGCACCAATGGTTCCATTGGCGAAAATTTGTGCAGGCAGTGGGGTCCATCTCTTATTCTGTCCCCCACCCATTTTTCTTTCGAGAAGGCCCTAACATTAGGGGCCGATTCGAACTCGCGCTCTTTTTGTCAGCAACTGAGAGGCTCATATAAATAAATTTGACCTGAGGGCCGGACAGATCGCCCTCACCCATTTTTCTTCCTTTTGAACGCCCTAACATTGTGAGGCGATTCGAGCCCGCGCTCTGTTTATCAACAGCTTAGAGGCTCATAAAATTTGGCCTCAGGCCGGAAGAGATCGCCCGCACTTGGCGAAATCGAATCCATCGTGTCCGCCTGAACGAATCTCAATTTCACTGTCGATTGGCAAATGCGGAGGGAGGACGAAAAGTCTGCCCCGCCTCGCCCCGCCTCGCCCCGCCTCGCCCCGCGCTGTGCCGGAGCTGTTGCGCGTGCGGGGGTATGGGGCCCCAAAACGTGCCCGTGCCCGTGCCCGTGCCCCTGCCCGTGAATCTTAGATTCGCCATAAATCATAATAAATAAGCCCTCTGAGAGGGATACTGATATGAGAGAGGGGTACAGAGACGTCGGCAGCCTCAATGGAGAGAGGCACTTGAGCTTGAGTGTGCTCAGGCTGCTGTATATTATTGCCCGCGCGAGCTGCCCCGCCCCACAGAGAAGGAATGGAAAGGCGTACGTGAGAACAAGAGAAAGAGGGCGAGCGAGCGAGCGAGCGAGCGGCGGGAGAGAGAGAGAGAGAGAGAGAGAGAGAGAGAGAGAGAGAGAGAGAGAGAGAGATGGACGGAACAATGGCGGCCTCAGCAGGAGAGATGCTGAAGAGTGATACGTTGCTGTCGCCGGTCGTTGTTCAAATCTTCATCCCTGCTTGCGCTGTAGTGGGCATTGCGTTTGCAATTCTGCAATGGTCGATTGTTGCTAAAGTGCAGGTGAAGAGGACAGAAAACGATGCGACAGGCTATAACCATATGCTCGCCGACGAGGGCGGGTTGGAAGATCCTAGTGTTCTCAACAAAGTAGCAGAGGTATGTTTCATTCTCTCTCTCTCTCTCTCTCTCTCTCTCTCTCTCTCTCTGTGGGCTGTAACCATGTGCTCGCAGATGAAGGCGGGTTGGAAGATGCTAGTGTTGTCAACGAAGTAGGAGAGGTATGTTGGATCTCTCTCTCTCTTTCTCTCTCTCTCTCTCTCTCTTGCTTTCTCTCCTACTCTCTTTCCCCCAGTCTTGTCTCGTTTACTCCTGCGCTTCTCCTTTTCGTGATCTAGCTATCGACCCCTCGTTCTGCTGCGTCTTTGTGAGGATAGGCATATTGGCGTCGAAGCCCCGTCTTCTTTCTTCATGTTTCTTCTTCTATGGGAGACAGGGCGATGATGAGTGATTTGTATGTTTTTCAATTAGTCATCAATGATGAATTCAGGCCGGCCTACCGCGGTCCACCCACTTCTAAAAGCGAGCAATGTTGTGTACTTGTTGCGCGGTTTTCTTGTTGAGTCCGATGTGTGCGCGGTTTTCTTGTTGTCCGATGTGTGGGGTGCTTTGCCAACGTGGAATGCTATCGCCAGATTTTCCTCTCTTTTTTTCTTAAGTTTAGCAGTCTCGAGCGACCATTGTCGTTGACGTCTCACGAAATCCATCGAGTGGGTGCTGGTTGCATGTGCCATAGCTCTCTCAACTGCACTCGCCTTTATTCAGAGCTGCTTTTCCGGATACCGCAGACGAGAGAGAGAGAGAGAGAGAGAGAGAGAGAGAGAGAGAGAGAGAGAGAGAGAGAGAGAGAGAGAGAGAGAGAGAGAGAGAGAGNGAGAGAGAGAGAGAGAGAGAGAGAGAGAGAGAGAGAGAGAGAGAGAGAGAGAGGTTGTGAATGTAAGGCAGGGTTGACATAGATTGTATTGACGATATTGCTGTTGAACTCGTCTGTCTAATTCTAATATAGATAGATAGATAGATAGATAGATAGATAGATAGATAGATAGATAGATAAATAGATAGATAAATGGATGGATAGATGGATATCTAGATAGATGGATAGATAGATAGGTAGATGTATATATAGGTGTCTGCAGTATGCGCAGAGGTGGTCGCGGTGGGGGGTCTCAAGGGGGAGGGGAGAGGAGGGGTTATTACCGTTTTCGGCGGGCTTTGGTTCTTGATGGAAATTACCTTTTGGATTTTAAAGCTTTGACATTTTGTGAGAGTGAGGGCATAATCACAGGCGAACTTTTTCTAAACTTCTCTGTGGACGTAATTCAGGTTCCATGCATCCAGGTCGGCCATAAAAACGGTCAGATAAACCCAGAAAGTGCTTATGTGAGTATGCCCTGAGGTTAGGCAGCTGTTGCCAGATCAGAGGGGTGAAGACATCGCTTTGCAACAGTTTTTTTTTACTGTTGCCTCTTCCTTGGGGTGTTCGCTCTTGAAATGTTGATTGTAAATTTATTTTCTTTTTTTTCATTCGCTGTTCAAAAGAAAGAGAGAGAGAGCGAGAGAGAGAGAGAGAGAGAGAGAGAGAGAGAGAGAGAGAGAGAGAGAGAGAGAGAGAGAGAGAGAGAGAGCATACTCACACGAGGATTTTTTCCACAAAGCTCTGGACGTGATTGCAGTCAAGTGCATCGTGGTTGGGCTGTAATTGCAGTCCGATGCATTCTGGAAAGTGCTAGTGTGAGTATGCCCCGATTTGTCAATGACAGACATGCGTTGAAAAGGACTTAAGAAAAAAGGTACTTTTTTTTTTAAGCTTTTCTGTAGCACATGTATTGAAAAAGAAAGGATTCACGTTTTTTGGAGTCGTTCCTTTTTTTTTTTTTTGGTTTTCGAAAAGAAAAAGTCGGTTCCCCCTCCCCGCGCCTCCCCACCCGGCGCCCCCCCGCCCCCCCTCGTCTCCCCCCTTATTGTAGGGCTTGTGATCTTGGGGGGAAAAAAAAGAAAGAAAAGAAAGAAAAAGGGGTTGTGATCTTGGGGCATATGTTCAAAATGTACGCCCCTGCTTTTCGGTGGCATTCTGTTGTGTCTCTGGTCTACTTTTCGCCCCCGGGCACATATTAACTTACTCATACAAGGGACTTTTCTGAATGCATCTAGTTTAGTTTGGTACAGGTATGTTCATGAAAGTCGCTGTGTGAATGCGACTTTTTTGTGAACAGGTGTACTACTGGTAGCGGTAGGGTTTGCTGCAGAGTTCCATGCGTGTTTTTTTCTTTTTTTTCTTTGGTAAATCCTGTCTTTTTGGTATGGTTTTGGGCCTCGCTCCAGTACTCGATATTCGACAAGTATCTGGACTGGAGTCCGGACCAAATACATTCAGATTGATCGAACGTTTTGAATGTATTGAGACCATTAACAGCTCCAAATACAGTTGGAGCTACAACAGAGGGGGCAATGCGTAATGCCCTGCTGGCAGCCATTAGAAATCGCCAAATCTTCCTACCGCCAACTGTATTTGGAGCTGTTAATGGTCTCATTACATTCAACACGTTCGATCAATCTGAATGTATCTGGTCCGAACTGCTGGCAAATCTTCTTAGACGATTAAACATGCCATCTCTCACTGGTGCTCTTGCCCGTACTGAGGCAAAACGGGAACATCCATCTCTTCCTGCTGCCCCTGCTGCCATGTGAAGTTGAATAACGCCTTTCTCTCGGATAGTAGCGGTACATACCCTCTCTCCCTCTCTCCCTCTCTCCCTCTCTCCCTCTCTCTCCGTTCTCTCTCGTTGCCTTCTCTCTCTCTTTGCCTTCTCTCTCTCTCTGTGCCTTTTCTCTCTCTCTCTCTCTCTCTCTCTTTGCCTTCTCTCTCTCTCTGTGCCTTCTCTCTCTCTCTCTCTGCCTTCTCTCTCTCCCTCCCTCCCTCTCTCTCTCTCTCTCTGCCTTCGTACCTCCCTGCGCCATTCCCAACTTCAGTGTTTGTCCTGTCTGCATGATCTTCAGGACGGTGTGCAACCGTTGATTCCATGACGTGAAGCAGATCGGCGGCGATGTTGACACAAACCACATTCAGGATGTAGCATCTGGGATTGGATAGATCCACATGGGCAAGTACTATACAATCACATGAGCAAAGCTAGAGAAAAAAAAAAAAAAACTTATTCTTCCCCGGATACAACGTACGGTTATAAATTATAATATAGCTGTATTTGGGGTATCTTTCAGTCTACGTACAGCTATAATGACCATATACGTTGTATTTGGGGGCAAAAGGTAGACAGCGAATTTTGAAACAAGCACATGAGCGAAGTTCAAAAGAATCACATGAGTGGAAAGGGGAAAAAAAAAGGATGATGAAACCCTCAATGTTTTTTTTTTTTTTCAAATAAAATAATAAATGGGCTTGTATCACCGCTCAGTATGATTGTATCACCGCTTGCTTGGTTCATCTTCGCTGTCGCCGATCCAGCACATTTATAAGGTGCACTTTCCTTTTTTTTTTTTTTTTTTTTCGAAATCCATTTTGAAAGACGCGCAACGGTAAACATTGAAATTGAGAGAAGAATACAGCTTAAAAGAAAAAAAAACATTGCTCAGTCTCGCCCATGCGGCTGGACTGTGTACCCTAAGAACTGGATTTCAAAATGGATTTGAAAAAAAAAAAAAAAAAAAAAAAAAACAGACCCAAGTTCGAAGCCTTATATAGAATGAGATGAACAAAAAGACTATGAAATTTGAATTCTATTTTAAAAACACAATCCAAATCAAACTTTATTCCAGGAAAAATAAAATAACTTATGGATGACAAAATAAAATTAATCAAGTGGAAACGCAAATCGATGGACCAAAAACAAAAACAAAAACAAAAACAAAAACAACAACAAAAACAAAAAAATCGATGGACCTAAAAGAGAAGGTTTCTCACGACCAGAGGGACATTATTAGGAGCAGCAGCAGTGGCTGAGGTGAGGCCCAAAAAAAAGTCTTTTTTTTCTTATTAACGGGAAAATTGCATCTGTAGCCCACTTAAAGATGTAAATACCCACTATACCCAGTCCCAGCGCCAACTTGCATCTATATACCCGGGGCGGGGTCCCACTTGCACGGATTAAGAGATTATAGCCGTTGATCTCTGCTATCTACGGTCAATATCGCTTAATTCGTGTAAGTGGGACCTAGCCCCCGGAAAACGGGCGATGAAAATTATTTGCATGCCCAGGACTGAGATGGACCCACGTTGGTACCCCAACATTGCGCTAAAAAAGAACAGCCAACTAAAGGAATGCACAAATTATGGAGATACCCAGACAAAACTATAGGAATGCTCAAATTACTGAGATACCCAGGCAAAATCACCCGCGTACCTGGGACTGAGGTGTGCCGGCCAAATTCATATATACCCTACTACTGGAAAGCTGAAATTATGCGCATACACAACGGTCCGCTTGGTGGGCATGAGCAAAATTTTGTGGGCAGCCATTCAAGGCCGGCCAGTGGTATTGTGGGTATACCCACAATTTTAACAAGTCCGGTTTCTGGGCATGAGTGTAATTTTGAGGTCCGGAACGCGAGGGCCTGCGGAAAGGGGTATGCCTACAATTTTGAAAGGGGGAAAAGTTGGGTACCATGCAAATTCGCACTGGGATTGGGTATAGCTGGTATTCCCATCTTTAAGTGGGGTGCAGCTGCAATTTTCCATAAATAAAAAGATAAGGAAGGCATCCCCAGAATGGCGACTTCGCAACCGAATATATACGGTATATAAGGAAGAAGATGAAAAAAAAGGAATTCATTTTTTCCTTGTTGTCTTTCTTTTTCGTGTTTTTTTCGTTTTTGCGCTCTGATAATATATCCGCCTTTGTGCTCTGATTCACAGTGTGACAAATCCACGTCGGCGGCCTTGTACGCAAGAGGTTTTGAACAGGGGGAGTTGTAAGGAAGAAGATAAAAAAAACGAAATTATTTTTCTTTGTTTTCTTTTTGTTTTCCTTTCGCTTTTGCGCTGTGACAACTTCGTGACAATATATACTATTAAACATCGATGCGAAGCTTTGTATTCAAAACGGCTCCCAGAGAAACTTTGAGGAGATTTGGGGAGGGGTTAT